TATTTCTCCCTTCTGAGGCATCTTCCTTTAGTCCTCCTGCTTCCTCCTCCCATTCATCTTCCAAAACTACCACCTTTCTTGTTTCCCCAGACTTCTCCCCCTCCTCTGTCCTCAAGAAAACATGTTTCCTTTCTCACTGTCTTTCCTAACTCCTCTCCCTTTCTCTCACCTTCAGTTCCTTCACCTTTTCTGTAGCGTTTGTTACCTCTCTATCTCCATCCTCTCTATCCTTTTCCTCTATAGATGTGTGAGGGGACAGCTCACTCTCTCTCGTGTTTTATCCTCCAGTTCACAGTATCAAGTTTCAGTATGGACTTAATTGGATACTGAAAAAGTTGTAGTTGTTCATTAACATTTATAGTCTCTGACTGACTATTGAACATCAAGGGATGTTTTTTGTCAATAAAATTATTTGAGTTTGAGAAGCACCATTCTTCATGCGTCTCAGACTCAACATTGCTCCTGTGCATATTTGAGTCCTTTAGCTAAAGAGGGATAGTTCCCTTGTTATAAGGCTGGTGTAAGCCAATAATGTCAGTGATACTGATCACACAGGTATTGGTGAACCAATTTCTTTAAATTAGTCGTTGTTTAGTCGTGTCCGACTCTTCGTGACCCCATGGACCAGAGCACGCCAGGCCCTCCTATCTTCCACTGCCTCCCGGAGTTGTCAAATTCATGTTGGTTGCTTCAATGACACTGTCCAACCATCTCGTCCTCTGTCGTAGCCTGGAAAAACCTGGACTTGCAGACAGTTAAGTCTTTGCTAAAGCCATGGTGGCAGACCACGGGAATTAGGAGAAGCCTCATTTTGTGAGTAATATAGAGATCTATTTAAGTTGAAATGTTATGTTTCTTTATTAGTGCTTTGTTGGGTACTCAGAAGATGCTTGTCCATGTTTTCCCATATAATGCCCAATGAATGAATTCTATGGTTATATTCTGTCTTACTATGATTCTTAGCATGCATTCCATTACTTTCTTTTATGAGTAATAAAGCTTAATTTCTTCATAGATAAATCAATCCTGCTCCTAAGATCCTGCCAGTTCTATGTGCAAATCATATTCTGCCATTTAAGAAGGGGGAGGTAGCCCTTGGATTTTAATTGATTAAATCCACAGATATTCCATGCAAGAAGTCCTCTATCTTTCTGTAGTGTGGTAAAGGGTCTCTATAGAAAGTCACAGCAGTATTACCAGGTGAGTAAGGCTACCTGTTTTCATACAAAGACCCTGGAAAACTTTGCGCACCCCCCCCCCCGCAGCCAGTATTCTGTGCTCACCAAGCATCCTCAGTCTCCGCTTGCTTGTGTTGGTGGTTTCCATTGCTTCTTTAGGGTTTCACTTCCTCTAGATTGCTTTGTCTTTCTGCAAACTTTGGGGCTTTCTCGTCTCTTTGTGTGAATGACGCTGTTTTGGCTACATATGGATTGGTGCTGAGAGGACTGAGTTCACTGTTACTGTATATAGAAATGAGGCTTCAGAGGTTTTGTCTCAGTCTCACTTATTCCCAGTAATTGCCACCCTTCCCCTAATGGACCTCTTTTTACACCAACAGGTGGGGAGACTTCTGCTGTAGAGCATTTCTTCTTCCTTCTGAAGTTGAGAGACACAATGAACAAAGACTGAAATATCAAAAATTTATATCCCATTTCTCAACTTGGGGAATATGGCTTGCCTGCAGAGCATGAAAAATCACCAGGTTTGGTGAGGTTGTGAAATGTCCTGAAGAATTCTGCTTGATGCTTTGTGGCATCATCAGTGATCTGAATATTAAAGGCCTTTTTCGTCAATCTTAAGGTGTTGGCATATTTCCTGGTCAGTGTCTTAACTGTAGCTAGATTTTGAACTGATTGGTCCTTTCTCCACCTGCTCTCTACCCATCTCCTACCTTCATAGCCTGAAACTCCTCGGTAAACCAGGGAGCAGGACAAGCTCTGAAATGGAGAGGGCAATTGGGAGTGATCATGTTAATCACCCTGGTTGTCTCAGCATATCATCTATCGACCTGGGCTTTGACAGGGTCACCAGCTAGATTTGCCAGATATACTCCCAAGGCCTCCCATCAGGGTTAAGGTGCATCATTTCTACTGGTCTGTTCTCTTCATGGAGAGGGGTTGCCATCTGTTCCTGGTACTATTTTGGCAGAAAGAAAATAGCTTCTCCACCTCCTGTTTTCAATTACATAGTCTATTTGATTTCTATATTTACCATCCAATATTTATTTATTTATTTTATTTTATTTATATCCCGCCTATCTGGTTGGTTAAGACCACTCCAGGCGGCTAACAACATAAAATAGCACAAAAGGTAAATATAAAAACAATTTTTACATAGAAGAAACATTAGACAAGACAAGAGGA